TCCCTCCCCCATCCTCTCCTGCCCTCAACCTCTTGTGACCCCCAACCCCTTGCCCCTCCCTCTCAGGTCTTGGGGGTGAAAGGGATCCCTAGGTCATCTGCTCTATTCCTCTAGCATGGTGGCAGGATGGACTTCATTCCACTAGCAGTCCCTCCACAGGACTGGTTCGTTGTGTGTGAGACACGGTTGGTTTTGCTACTGTAGTGTGTGCCATGCAGGTAGGCAGCCTTTATTTCCATGCACCGACTCTCCCCAGTGGGGGAATCAGACCCTGGATTTCTGAAGGAGAATTTTCCAGACGCTGCCACCTCCGTGTAGCTTCTCACCATGCTGACTTCCATCTTCTGTTTTTCAAAGTCCAGATCGCTGTCATATGAAACTCCTGTCTTGATGGTTCATCTGATTTCTCTGATTCCTGTATCTTACGAATATGTTTTTATTTCTGTCAATACTAGCTAGAAATTTAGTTCCTGTTTAGTGTATTTTTTGAGTATGTGAAGATTTAACCAGTTAACTGGTGAGTACTTTAGCAGCTCCCTGCCTGGGGTGGGCCCAGGCACCCCACAAGTAGGGGCTGGTCTGACCAGGACTCTGGAGCTGCCCCTTTCTTGTGGGGGAGATATGAGAGGAAATACAGTGGGGCTGGAGTGGTCCCCGCTCACCCCACCTTTAATCAGTTAACTGGCTAGACATATTAAAAGGGGTTTTACACCCCTAGTTTATAAGTATTGGTAATTTGGCTGACTCTCTTAAGTACTGCTTATGACCACACACTCTGGTTTTTACTCAGTAATCATGGAAATTAACCATGTGTCACCCTTCCTGGTGACCTAGGCTAGCACCCAACTTTTACTAAGATTGCAACTTGTGTTCCCATATTGAAGAGACTACACTGTCGGTGTAATGTGGTTAGCCAGTGGTCCTTCCTCTAAATTTTCTCTCTGGTAGGGCACCCCAAAGTATATTGCCCTTCTTGTTTCCCTGTATGTCTTGGTGTTCTGTCCCTTGCTGAGGGTTTATGAGGAGACCTGCTCGTTTATTCCCAGAATGGCATGAGACAGATGTCTAGGCAGGGTGGTGGGTGTGTACACACAAGGAGAGAGGGGAGTTAGGTAGGATGCTCCAAGGGGATAGAACTTGGGTAACTCGTCCAGGCCACAAAGGGAGTCCAGCATTAGAGCTGTGAGTAGAGCTTGAAAATGTCTGACTCAGCACCCTATTGCTGATGACAGGATTACACCTTGCATTATTATGTAGAGCAGGGGTGGGGAACCTAAGGCCTGGGAGCCATATTCAGCCCCTGGCTTGCCTGGATCTAGCCTCTGAGGGTCACGACTTCCCCCTAGCTTTGGGGAGCCTGCGCTTGCGCTCCAGCTGAAGCACACAAAATCTACGAGGCTGGGTAGGCTCTGGTGTGAGGGGGGAATGCCAGGAGTGTCTTTCTCCTTCTCATGGCCAGTGAGGATTTGGGGGGTGGTTTTGGGGTGGTTTTTTTTGGCTTCTTACTTGTGAGAAGCTCCTGACTAATTTTTCAGTTGATCAGTGGCCCCTGATCCAAAAAAAGGTTCCCCATCCCTGACATAGAGCAAAAGTGAGCCCAAACCTCATGAAGTGCTTTGCTCCTCAGGCCAGTCAAACCGCTGACTAGTCTTCCAAGGGAAGTGGTGGAAACTTGGTGGTTTGTTCTCTTTGATTTTTTTTTAGATTGAGTCAATCTTGCCCTGGTCCCTGGAAAGTGAATGAAACGAATTAGCTGTTCAGAGATACAGATTTTTTGTCAGTACCTCTGTGCATTGCTGTGTCTGAAACTCCTTTTGATTTGTGTTCTCTTTCTATCCCTCAGTTGTTCCCTCCGTTTACACCATTTACATGGGAAAAGATAAATATGAAAGTAAGTGCATGAAAATACTTTGGCAAAGCTTTACAGGTTGGAGTTTGCTTTCTTTTTCTCTCTCTAATTGTTTGGGCCTCTTTGATCTTACTGCATTGTTTAAAGCATGCTTTTCTAGATAATTTTCTATCAAGAAAATTATGCTCTATGCTAACACCTCATGTAGTCTGGAAATTATTTTATACCATTGTGGAGGTTGGTGAGAGGGGCAGCTAGGGGCTTAATGTGACGTTGGTGGGCACTGTGGTCTTTTTATCAGGCTACAAAATGGTCAAGGAAACAATAGTAGATGCCTAATGTGATTTGACAGCACTTGTTTTAGTTAGTTTAATTGTTCCTTGCATCATTAGTGGGTTTTTTCCCATCTGGAGTTAGTGTTCTTCAAATAAAATAGGTTATCTGTTGTGTTCTCTTCCAGTAAACCCCAAGGTACAGTCCTGCTTTATTTCATGTCCTTGCTTGCTACTCTGTACTTAAGGCAAAACCAAAATTAACACTTCAGGTGAAGAGTTGTTGCTTTTTAATCTTGGGAAATGCCCCCTTGAAAATCTCCCTCATAGGCTATCTATCAGTGTCTCCAAATAAAAAAACTGAGACTGGGATGGAGGAAAGAAAAAATTAGAAGTGTTCAGACTTTTGGCCAACACCTTAGTGCCCGAGTGCACTGTGTGGTTCAGCCCTGTTGGGGGTTCCATCACTCAAGTGCCATACTGTGGTGCAAACCCTCTTGATTTTAGTTTTTTAAAAGTAACCACTGGTGTGTCAATGAATTCAGAAACCGAGCTCTAGCAATCCTTTCCCCTCGTTGCCTGTCTCAGTGGGTGGTGTGGTTGGCTGCTGGGGAAAGTAACTTTATTTGCTCAGTATTTTTTTTCATGCCTGCAGATGAAGATCTGATCAAATATGGCTGGCCTGAAGATGTTTGGTAGGTACTGGAAAGTGCCGTGTAAGTCTTGTATGCTTGTGAAACGAATTGTGAACTTCAAGGGGAGGCGGCATTGGTGCCCTACTGGCTACTAGAGCTGCTATTCAGGGTATTAACTAATTTAAACAAAATCCTGGAGCGTTATTGTAGAGCAGGGGTGGCCAAAGTGTGGCTCAGGAGCTGCATGTAGCTCGTTGAGCGTGGGTTGTGGAGCCCCACGCCACACCTCTCTCCTTCACCTACCAGTTCGAGGAACGTGAGACCTCCACCTTGCCGATTCAGCAGAAGCAGGGATGAAGCCCCGAGTCTCAGCAGGCATGCCCCGTCTCTCAGACCTCTGAAGGCCAATAAGTTTGGCCACGTCTGTTTCCGAGTAGCACCTGTGGCCCCCGGTGAGGTGTGGTTGCACTGCACTGATAAGTTTGGCCACGTCTGTTTCCAAGTAGCACCTATAGCCCCCGGTGAGGTGTGGTTGCACTGCACTAGGCCATTTCACACACACACAGCAAGAGTTGACAATGTAACCTGGCTTGTGTGCGCATGGAATAGGTGTGCCCTCATGTGGCGCTACTTATGAAAAGCTGTGTAGGTGAACCCTAACCTGACAAGGTAAATGTTGAAATGACACGGAGGTGAAATTTAAAAAACAACAAATTGTCTTGCAGCACTTTCGAGACTAATGGGTGCTGCAAGACTATTTAAGTTTTTTCCAGGTATAGACTAACACGGCTACCCCTCTGAAACAGAGGTGAAATGGCATGTCCCATGTCGCAGGGCAGATCAGCAAGAGAAGGAAACAGAACCCAGGTCTCCCAGGGAATAGAACCCCCAGATCCAGATCCTCTCCGCAGGAGCTTGCTGCTTCTCCAACCCTTTCCCTTTGTCTGAGTCCTCCTGCTATGCGTACGTGCACAATGTTCCCTTCCTGTTTACCGTCTTCAGATGCTACCTGACCAAATGAAATATTCACTGTCTTGCCTGTATTCTGGCTCCAGGAGGACACCTCTGAGTCATGACAGGCGAAAGCCAAGCCTAACCTAAACAGATCTACCTGATCCCGTGTGCTGGGCTGACGCGGGCACTGCTCTGTACCACATGTTGATGTAGTCTTGGTCCTCCCTACATGGAAAAGAAAATACTCAGAGGAGGGCAGTTGGGGCAACTCACCATTAGCTGCAGACATGCCATTGACTGCTCTTTGTGGCAATCTTTTAACAAGTTTTCCTTGCTGGAAGTGGCCATATTTGTCTGGGGCCGTGTATGGCTGTTAGATAATGGATGGAATGGGCTATTTATATCAATAGACGGGCTTGGACGCACAAACCCATCATCTTAGTTGATGCTAGGGAGGTTGGTTAATATAGGCTTATTTTTGGAAGTGTGTGACTGCTGACATTTTCAGTGGTTCTGCGTTTACACACAGCGGGGGCAGGTGGGAGCCAGTGCTCAAGGGAGCTGGCATTTAACCAGGTTCCCTCTGAGCACCAGCTCCCGCTTGTCCGCTTCCCGCGCTGCTCTCTTTGTCTTGCTCCCATTGCTCCCCCCCTCACTTCTGTGTGTGGCAATGGGGTGGGGGTGAGGAAGGCACGTGGCTCTGTGGGAGCCAGCTTAAAAGCCGGCTCTCCATGCGTACTGACTCCCGCTGCCTCTGATACGAAGGCAGTGGGGAAGGCATGCGTGTAACCGTGTGGGTTAACCGACGAGGCCAGGCATATCGGTTAACCATGTACACGTTAACATCCCTAATCGATGCTTAATGTTCACCATTTCAGCAGAGACGCTAAGAACTGAGTGGGCCATATAGACTGGACTCACTTCTGATTCCTACAGGTGGTCTTTTTGAGGAGTGAATTGATGGAACCAGCGTGTAAGAAACATGCACACCGCCTCTGCTTTTCTTGCACCTGCTCTGAAAATTAGGGATGTAAGATGCTAGGAGTACGTACTCCTCGCAGTAAAACACAGCTGACCTGTGCTCATGGGATTTGCACTGCAGGGCTATGAAGTTACAGCATAGATATTGCGGGGCTTCAAGACCTGAGTGCCACCTGACCACAGACATCTACGCTGCATTTTTATAACCCTGGAGCCCAAGCCCCGCGAGCTAGAGACAGCTGACATGGCCAGCTGTGAGTCTTCTATTACAATGAAGACAAACCCTATGAAGGACGCTCCTAGGGTGTTTTGTTAGCATGAAATGTCTCTGTTAATAACAGGCTCTGCTATAGTAATATCATACTAATTTGTCTGCCGTAATTAGTTAACTGATGTAGTAAGAGTCGACAGGAGTAGAGGGAGCAAATAGCAATATTTTATTGTCTGTGTGTATTATATTTCAAAGAAAACACAAGGTTCTTAGTAACTGCTTCCTTTAGCATTTCAATCTTTTTCTCTTAAAGGTAGATGAATATTTGCACAAAGATTAAAACATCTGATAAGCTGTAACAATTCCATTGCATGCTGTCAGGTATGCATGTTCAGATTATATTTTAATGCGTCTACTTATGGGACTACTCGTCTGTTGTTTTAATCTTTATTGAAGCATTTATTTCAGATTTAGCGACCTTCTGCTAAATGTGCCTTTCTACTCTGTAGGTTTCATGTGGATAAGCTTTCCTCTGCACATGTATACCTCCGACTACACAAGGTAACCTCAGAACCCTGCTGCATGTAAACAAATATGTATTGGTATCACCAGAGCTCAACAAATCACTGAATCTACTCACCCGTGGCGAGTAGATTTCAGCTGGTCGCCCCGTTCACCCCGCATGAGCAGTGCAGGGCTGGCGAGTAGGTTTTGCCACCGTTTGTCAAGCCCTGGGTATCACAGTGGTCTGCAAAGGATTTTTTTTAAAGATCCTCATTTCCAGAAAATGTTTTTTTCCTGCTTGTTTTGAATTCTAGAATTTTTATACATGCCAAGCCTAGTTCTCCCTGGTTTAGGAGGGTTTGTTACCTCAGGTATTTATTGAGTTTGTACACCAAAATGTGGGAGAACTTGTTCTGTTGTTGCATATAATATGAGCGTATAATATAAGCATTCTGCACACACACAAGTCTTACAATCTAAGGCTGCCATTCCACTATGAGCTCTGTATGCATATACTCCCTCCTCCCCTCCCTTCCCCGCTCACAGATAGTGCCACTGATGTTAATGGGAGTCTGCAAGAATGCTGGTGTGTAGCAGAACTTGAGCATTTGTTAGTATGCTACCCAGGGATGTTAAATATCGACTAATTGAATAGTCGAGTAACCTCATGAATTCTTATCGGTTAGTCGACTGTTCTATAGTCTCCAGGGGTGGGTCTGGCAGCCAGAGCACTCCAGCCCCACTCCCAAAAAGGTCCTTGCCACTCTGCACTGCTGCCTCTATATCAGAGGAGGCAGCGCAGAGTGCCAGGCAGGAGCTGGTCCGCAAGAGCAGCTAATTTAAAAACCAGCTCCCCTGACCGACCAGCTGCCTGTCGCCCTGTGCTACTGCCTCTGATAAAGGCAGCAGCGCAGGGTGGCAGCAGCTCCTGTCTTGGGGGGGAGGGTCCGAGCTCCCGGACCCAGCATGAGCGGGAACTGAGGTGGGCTGCCTGCCTGCTCGGCTCCTAATACACTTTAAATGCAGAGCCGCAGCAGGGTTAGGTCCCGGACCCATTGCAAGCCAGGACTGAGCTGGGCTGCTGGCCAGCCTGCTAAAAAATGTACTGGGGGGGGAGGGGGGGAACTGTTTGTAAAGTGGCATGAAAGCCATGGGCAGCAGGTGCTATAGAAGTGCAAGGTGGTATAATCTGTGTGTGTCATGCAGGGTGGTCATAGCTGAGTTTGCATAGCACGTTCCAAGCGCGCTGTTGGTCCGGGGTTTCTCCAGTGTTCGTAAATGCCCTGCTGCTCCTTCAAATGGCACAATAAATCACTCTGGTTCCACTGCTCTCTTTTAGGGGCAGACGGTGGATGACATTCCCAAAGAAGTTTTGATAGACTGCGCCCATCTAGTGAAAGCCAATAGCATTCAGGGTAACATTTACTATTGAAATTGGCAAGTTGACAGTGGTGATTAAGGGGCTGGGGAGAGGGATTTGTTCCATGCCAAGTTACCCAAAATCCTTGAATAATGTGACGTTTAAGCACCTTTCAGAACTTGTTGTTTTCATGGGAAACAGATGTCCCTTCCAGCAGCTGGTGCTGATGCTATTTTCATACGGAAACTTTAATCTCCCGATTCCTCACTGTGCCTCTAAATCACTGTACGAGCCAAAGGGAGGCTTGCCATTTTCCCTCTAATACCCACCTGAGGCCGCCTTTGGGGCAGGCAGATTTCTGGCAAAGCCAGGCTTCATCTGGAGTTCATTAACACAGCTCTGGCCCTTGCTGCCACAGAACATACAATGGCAATGCTGTTCCCTCAGATAGGAGGTAGAGGACAAGTCCTGACACATGTCACTGACCAGCAGCTGTGTGACACAGCGTTACTCTGGCCGGTTGGGGAGACAGGGTGTCAGAAGGTGGGGGAGGGAGAATCGAAATGTTTCCCGCTTCTTGTGATACAAGCCCTCTTGTTTCTCCTCTTTGCTCTGTAGGATGTAAAATGAACAACATCAATGTGGTGTACACACCATGGACCAACCTAAAGAAAACAGCTGACATGGACGTGGGACAGATAGGGTTTCACAGACAAAAGGATGTAAGTGTTTGCTATGTGGCTGCAAGGAAACCCAGCAGCTGACTGCAATGCCTCCTTCGTAACGCCACCATGTTGTGTCATCCACCAAGGCTCTAACGCAGGGGAAATGTCTGTGGTCCAGGACATGGGAAAAATCCCAGCTGTTTTTTGGTGGGCGAAACTAAATTTCCATGTGGGTGCTGGAATATAGTAAAGTAAAACCACGACTGCACATGGAAGACAAGTTAAAACAGGGCTGCAGAGTCATTGGCTATGGCCAGTATACAATATCCCAGTGTCTCATACACACTTGCTGCATGGATTTCCACCTACGCTTGGATTATTGTCTTCAGTATGATTGAAAACACTCTGACCTGGTGGTAACATAACCACAGCTGGTTTTCCTTTGGTAACAAGCAGCTATTTCCATTTCGAAGTTGGAGACCTTGAATCTCAGAGTTCATCAGATCCTGTTTCCTGTAAAATCTCCCTGTTTTCATACTTTTAAATGTTGAAGGAACCTCCAGACTTAAAGCATGAATCCAGTTGTCACTTTCAGAATTGCTAGCAGGCAGCCTTGTGTATTTTCTCTTCACCCAGCTGAGCCCCCTGTCCTGAAATCATTAAGGCTGACTTAGGAGAGCAGTCGAGTCCTGTATTGAAAGAGCTAGGTTATCTGGAGAGAAGAGATTGTCAGTTGGTTGGTTAAGTTCCAAGTCTTGGTTCTGAGTTCTCTTTAGGGATGTAAAATCCTGGTTAAAAAGTTAACTAGTTAAACCTGATGCAGCTGCTTGTGCCCAGCCAGACAGGGCCCACCGCATTGTGGGGGGGCTGCTCCAACCAGACCAGTAATGGGTTAACCCTTTACATCCCTAGTCCTCTTCTGGCTCTTCCACAGATTTCCTGTGTGTTAAGAGCCGGACGGCTCTTAAGACATTTAAAAGGCTGAAGCATGGGGTGGATGACTTGATGCAAGCTGGGACAGCTGATTCATTTAGCTGCCGGCTCTAATCTAATAAATACAGGAGAATGTTTGTAAGTTTGTGCGCTAATAACTTGGACACTATAAGAGCTACTGCAACCAAACTTTTTATGGGATAACCTTTCATCCAGGAGAAGGTTTTAAGGTACCCGATCGGGCCCGAGCTTAGGCTGTAAAAATAAAAAAGTAACGTGCTGCAGAGGCTGCCCCGCCCACCCGAGGTCCCGTGCCTGCCACCTGCAGCGCCGTCTGGGACTCGCCCACAAGGTTACATAAGCGACCCTCTTTTCCCTCCCCCCGTGCCAGCACACGGTGCCCCCACCCCCACGCGCACAGCAGCTCAGGGGCCCGCCCTGCCCTCTGCACATGGTGCCCCCACCCCCATGCACACAGCAGCTCAGGGGCCCGCCCTGCCCTCTGCGGCATCTGCAGCCCTGGGCACAAGCTGGGGTGCCCCTCCTGCATGTAACCTTTCCCCTTCCTCCCCTCCCCGGGGATGACGCGGACCTATATTTTAATCCCTATAGAAATCCGTGCAACTTTTCTACCATTCATGAAAAGATAATGGACTACTGTTTTTTTCTACATTTTGTTCCTCCGGTTTCCCGAGCAAGACCAGGTAACTCCAGCTAGTACATTTAAGAAGCAGAGGCGCAGTGTCTGGGACTGGGCGCAAGCCGGGAATCAGCTGATTCCCAGCTCATGCCCGGTCTCTAACCCCCTGAGACCGGCGGAAATGGTGTGGGGGGAACCATCTCCTTCTTCTCCCTTCCCCAATGCCTGGTCTCTAACCCCTGACACCAGCGGAAATGGTGTTGGGGGAACCATCTCCTTCTCCCTTCCCCGCCCTGGCTGCCTCTGATAGGCAGCAAGTGGGGGAAGCGACTAGCTGAAGGACGGTGCTTATCGGGTAATCGACGAGTCACTTTCATCCCTAGCTGTAGAAGTACAAAGTGTTTGTTAAATGCAAATCGGTACTGGCCAGTGCAGTATTGAAGACAGCAGTGCACAGAAGGGGTACAGTGTACTCAGCAACAGCGTGAGCTTCAGGTCCACATAGACTTGTTCCATAGGTGGGTGGCTAGGATCCAGTCAATCCTCAGGCTCTCTGCTGAGACTGTAGCCAAGAACGCCAATCAGCGATAACGGTTTGTGTTCTTGTGCCTGTTGGGGGTTGTCCTCTTCACACAAGCCACTGAACGGCGCCAGATGCCCGTGACACAGTCTAAATGAGATTTGGGAGTCATGCGTCAGGGTGAAAATGCCGCTCTTGGTCTGTGTTTACCTCACGGTGGTGTCTCTTTCTCAGCGAAACACACGGAGGCAGCCTTTTTGATAAGGATTATAGTTCTTTCCATCCCACAGGTGAGAACAGTGACCGTGGAGAAAAAGGTGAATGAGATAGTGAACAGGCTCGAGAAGACCAAAGTGGAGCGGTTCCCTGACCTGGCCGCCGAGAAAGAAGCTCGGGACAGAGAGGAGAGAAATGAGAAAAAAGCCCAGATCCAAGAGATGAAGCGGAAGGAGAAGGAGGAGATGAAGAAGAAGAAAGAAATGGAAGAGCTCAGGTGAGTAATGACTGTGGCTAGCTCTCACTGTCAGCATTTCACATCCATGATGGGAAGGAGACTTCGACCAGGGCATGTCGGCAGAGAGAAAGGGGTAAGCAGTGAGGTGGTAAAGTTTGCAGATGATACCAAACTGTTCAGGATAGTCAAGACAGAAGCAGACTGTGAGGGACTCCAAGATGATCTCACCAAACTGAGTGATTGGGCAACAAAATGGCAACTGAAATTCAATGTGGATAAGTGTAAAGTAATGCACATCGGGAAAAATAACCCCAACTATACGTACAGTATGATGGGGGCAAACTTGGCTACAACAAATCAGGAAAGAGATCTTGGAGTTCTCATGGACAGTTCTCTGAAAACTCCCACACAGTGTGCAGCGGCGGTCAAAAAGGCAAATAGGATGCTAGGAATTATTAAGAAAGGGATAGAAAATAAGACCCAGAATATCTTACTGCCCCTGTATAAAACTATGGTACGCCCACATCTTGAATACTGTGTACAGATGTGGTCTCTTCACCTCAAAAAAGATATTTTAGCCTTGGAAAGGGTTCAGAAAAGGGCAACTAAAATGATTAGGGGTTTGGAACGGGTCCCATATGAGGAGAGGCTAAAGAGACTGGGACTTTTCAATTTAGAAAAGAGGAGACTGAGGGGGGATATGATAGAGGTCTATAAAATCATGAGTGGTGTGGAGAGGGCCGATAAAGAAAAGTTATTTATTAGTTCCCTAAATAGAAGAACTAGAGGACACCAAATGAAATTAATGGGTAGCAGGTTTAAAACTAATAAAAGAAAGTTCTTCTTCACACAGCGTGTAGTCAACCTGTGGAACTCCTTGCCAGAGGAGGCTGTGAAGGCTAGGACTATAATAGAGTTTAAAGAGAAGCTAGATAATTTCATGGAGGTTAGGTCCATAAAAGGCTATTAGCCAGGGGATAACATGGTGTCCTTGGCCTCTGTTTCAGAGGCTGGAGAGGGATGGCAGGAGACAAATTGCTTGATCATTGTCTTCGGTCCACCCTCTCTGGGGCACCTGGTGCTGGCCACTGTTGACAGACAGGATACTGGGCTAGAAGGACCTTTGGTCTGACCCAGTATGGCCATTCTTATGTTTATGTTCTTATGTAGTGACCGAGTCACTCATGCTCTGGTCTGTCTTAGACTGGCACAGTCTTAAGCAAGAGTATTTGCTGGGCATGGAACCCTTTCCTTGCCTTTGTCTTGGGGACTAGATGCATTCCTCCAGGTCACTTAATATGAACATAAGAATGGCCAACCTAGGTCAGACCAAAGGTCCATCCAGCCCAGTGTCCTGTCTGCCCACCGTGGCCAATACCAGGTGCCCCAGAGGGAGGGATCAAAATAGGTAATGATCAAGTGATCCCTCCCCTGTCACCCACTTCCAGAGAACCAGAGGCTAGGGACACCATTCCTACCCATCCTGGCCTATAGCCATTGATGGACCCAACCTCCATGCATCTATCTTGGAGGAGGAAGAGGGGGGAAAATTCTTCTCGGCCTCTGAGGATAGAACAAGAAGCAATGGGCTTAAACTGCAGCAAGGGAGGTTTAGGTTGGACATTAGGAGAAACTTCCCAACTGTCAGGGTGGCTAAGCACTGGAATAAATTGCCCAGGAATGTTGTGGAATCTCCATCATGGGAGATATTTAAGGTTAGATAGACATCCATCAGGGATGGTCTAGATGGTGCTTGGTCCTACCAGGAGGTCAGGGGACTGGATTTGATGACCTCTCGAGGTCCCATCCAGTTCTGGTGTTCTAGGCTTCTATGAAGTGTCAGCCGGAATGTCCCAAATATGAAATAGATACACAGATAACTTTGGGTACAGAAATACACGCATACAAATGGGATTAGCGTATTCAGGAAATCCTCACTTTTCCAATGACACCTTACATGAGACATCTTGCACAGAGCATATCTCAGCTGTGGCATATTCATATCAGAAGCATATTTTCATAAAGCATGGGAAGTGTCACATCTCAGTGTCCTCTTCTGTCTCTGACATAAGTGTTTTGCTCCAAAGTGTCTGTGCTCTTCATAGTCCACTTACTCTTCGCTTAGGGCTGTGGTGTGTTCTTTGAAAGACAAACTTGTGTTTGATTTCCCCCTGAAGAACAGGAGAGCTAAACTTGGAGGCCCCCTGTCCTGTTTCAGAGTGTACGTTCAAAACATAATTTCTCTTCCCTTGCAGGAGCTACTCTTCTCTGATGAAATCTGAGAACATGTCCTCCAACCAGGTAAGCTCAGGCTGGCACCTGTGAAGATCTTGCTTCCAGAAGCCTGGTTAAGAATCAGAGTAGGCTAACAGGATATGACGGAGAAAGCAAGCTTTAGCCCAGTAGCCGCACATGATGATTTGTTCCACAGGCTATACTTTTCTTATTGTAGGACAATATCCAAGGAGAGCAGAGCTGCGTGATTTCTGGCAAAGGGAGTCTACTTTCTGTAGCACCCACTAGAGATGTTAAATGGGCCAAGGACACAGCCACCCATTTCTTTTCTCCGCCATCTCCCAGTCTGCTTCTCTGAGTTCCCTTTGGTTGCATTCAGAACCCCTTGCCAGTGGGGCTGAGAAGTTCTGTGTAGGAAGGATACCAAGTTCTGTGGCAGGGCAGCCACCAAAAAGAGCCTATCAAGTGAAATTCTTTTTGTCCTTTTGCTTCCACAGGCCTGTGTCTGGTTTTCTTGGGGTTGGGGGAACCCTCTATCTTTGGATTACTCTGTCGCATCAGTGATACCTCCAGGCAAACAAAGAGCTCAGACTGCCTCTCGCAAATCTGTGTTGAAAATCGCTTGAGCTGTCACATTACCAGAGGCTCAGCAGCTGCTTAGGATAGGGTTATGGATTTCTTGTGTTTGGTGAATCGTCTGGCTGGTGAGCATATGGGGTAAAGATACCCATGGGGTTTAAGTAGCAGCACTTCCTACTAGGCATGTGAAGGACTAGTTGGCTATCCAATAAGCAAATGCTTATCTGCTAGTTGACTAGTCCCTCCCCCCTCCCCTTGCTGCCTCTGTCAGAAAGACGCAGCAAACGGGGAGAAGGGGTACTTCAAAGCAGCAGCACCACTTGAAGCCTGGGGCCTTACCCAAGGCTCCATGCAGCGCTGCTGCTTTGAAACCCCGCAGGGAGCCCGCTGTCTGGCGACACACGGTGTTTCAAAGCGGTAGCTTTGAACTAATTGAATAGTCAGTCAATATTTAACATCCTTGGTTCCTACCACGCATGTGCAAGCTGTGTCTGGCTAGTGACATTCCCGTAAGGAATGTCACCCCTCTCTGTGTCTAAGCCACCTGTCGTCAGACTGCTGCTTTCATGCTGGGCTCAGATTAAGTCAAATTCACAAAGGGCTGATGCACAGGAGTGTGTTGGCAAGAATCTCTGCTTCGTGGCCTGAGTCATAAGACGTAGGTAAAGGCTACGAAGTCACCAGTTCCGTGGATTATCAGAGCTCAGTTACCCGTCGTGCCTCCCAGAGTTACACTTGAAAGATGGAGCCTCCATTGGAACGGGTGGAGCCGGTTTACTGCGGGGCTAGCAAGCCGCACAGATTTGATATTGCATCTGTTTCCTTAACATGGCTGGTTGGTTCCTAGGCTCTGAATTCAAGGGGAAGATGTCAGGGGCATACTTGAATGAACAAGAGGATCCTTGTATGTTACGTGTGAGACTAGCAACAACATCCAAGAATCTAGCTGTGGGGTTTGTCAGCTACGGAATTCTGATCGCCAGCCTTTTGAATAAACTTTTGCTGAGCTCATGGCTTTTGTACGGGCACCGGAGGAACCTCAGCCACTTCCTTTAACGATGGTAGAGGTTACTGACTACACCACTGTCTTTTAGCCTGGGGGTCTGCGGACTCTGAAGATTTCTAAAGGGGTCCACACCCATCTTAGGGGTCTGCAAATGAAGAGCCACCGGACTCCAGCCTGTCAGCAGAGTTACACTCCCACTTTAAGAAGCTTTTTTCGTTAATTTCATTCTCTTTTCCCCCCCAGGATGGCAATGACTCCGATGACTTCATGTGAACGGGGCACACTCCCCTTTCTGTATCTTGAGGGAGACTGCCATGCCTTTCTCCGTCCATCCGATGCCAAACAAATGCTGACTTCAGAGTTTGACCCAGTTGGAACAGTCCCTGGCGATATCCGACCAGCCCTCTGACGTGGGTCTCCTAAAGACAGTATCTTACCAGAGAAGGGAGGGTGGGGGGAAAAGGGGAGGATACATTCTGGTTCTACAAGGACTTTGATATATTTATTTTATGAGGGAGGGACTTTTAATCTGAGCTGCAGGAGTGTCGTGCTGCCTTAATGAATTGGCAGTAGACTCCAAGAAATGTTGCGGGGGTGGTACCGGCTCCCTGGTATAAATTCAAACCTGAAATCACAATTGCTGATGTGAGGATTCTCTTCTCTTGGGTGATCCTTGTTGATGGGCTCTGTGTGTTCATCCAAGCCAGGGAATTCCCATAAAGCAGAGGAGTCTGAATTTGGCTCAGCTGATGGCCATATTGCAAATCTGCCTGGAGCCAAAGAGATCCGCCCATCTGGAAAATGTAGCAAATTGTAGCTGCCTTCATTTTCACAGGGAGCTGGTGCCTCTGGGCAGCCTGACCGATGGAGCAATGCATGCTGGGATGTGGTGTCTTGAGGCTGCATATCTGTAATATAGACGAGGATAGTCATGAATTGTTTTCGGCTGCACTCGGCACCCCTTTAGAACAAAGGATGTTGGGCTTGCAAATAAGATGGTGTTTGAAAAGCCTGGAACACTTGACTGAGTAACCTGTAACATGGCTAATAAACATGCAAAATGATTGTGGTAACTCTCACAACATGTTTAGGCCTGTTGTAATTGGGGGGTTTTGTGTGTAGTGTTGCATGGGTTCGAGATGTGGTTACCAATCTTCCCTCTAATTTGTTCCATCGGTGTGCGAAATACATTTTACGATGTGCGCCAAGGCCTCTTTAGGTGTGCACCACCATTGGAAACCCACGCTGCTGGCTGTGGGCACTCTGCGAATCAGCTGGGTGGCAGCTTACAGGGAACACTGGCGGTTGTAGTTGGGGGCAGGAGCGTGAGGAGGGACGCTGGTATGAGTGGCTGTGAAAGGCGCTGCTTCAGCCATTGCGAACGTGGCTGACGTTGGAGGTGAGCAGAAATGGACCGTGGAGCAGAAGTGGCGGGGAGACTTCCCGGGTGAAGCAGTGTCTGTCTTTTCAGCTTGGTTCTTCCATGCACGCAAGCTCCTCTGAGGTCAGTTGCTACAGCCAGTTGTGTCCAGATAGCTCCCGCACCGGCTTGCACAATCGTTTACAAAGTACTCTCTGTGTGGCGGTAGGTCCATGCCAAGCGGGTGACATGTCCCAGCTCCCGGGAGTTTATCCTAAGTATGGCTCCTGGAACTCTGGCTCTGCGCTCTCCTGGCCCAGTTGCTTTGTATTGCAGTCTTAGCCCAGGGGATGAGCTGTCGGAGATCTACGTGTAGTGTCTGCCATTGTAAACGCAAAGAGATCCCCTGTTGTCTGGGGCCCAGAAGAGGGTGTGCACCTTCCTACTGCTTTGTCGTGCCCCTTGGCCAGTGAAGCATGTGAGAGCCTGGAGAAACAGGAAGTGAGCTCCCTTTGTAGGCTCCAGGATTGCGATTGTATTAATCCCGCAGTGTTGCTTCCAGAGGTGGATGATGTGGCTGAGAACAGAACTCGGCCCGATGGTGGGGTTGTGTTAGGTGCTGTACAAATGTAATTGAGGCTTCCTGCCTCGAGCAGCTCAGTCTAATTAGCTGTCAGCATTACCCGAAAGAGCCACGGTATGCACGTGTGTGTAGAGAATTTATAAAATTCTCATGGCAAAATGGTGTCTTCCTGCCTCCCGTTGTCAGTCGCTCCCCTGGCGATAGGCAGAGGGGTCCACTTCAGATGGGCTCCGAGGTGGGGGTGCTGCTGGAGTAGTGTAACAGGGGAATTCTGTCGGCTGTGGGATACAGCCGCTCGGACCAGAGCCCGCTGGGCCGTCCCCGTGCCACACACCCTGTTCACACCGGTGCACTAGGCCAGCCTTGTTCCCTCAGGACCCAGGCCTGTAGCTATCCATGCTGAGAGCCCTTGTAAGTACCCGCTGACTGACGACTGGTCTCTGGCTTTGCCAGACCATGAGCCCTTTACTTAATCAGGTGACACCTAACGGGAACTTTCAGTAAACCCTTCTCCCTCCCTGTCTATCGGCCAGGCCGCGGTCGTCTTCCCTGTTCCCTCTGGGTTCCTTCGCCAACTGAGGCCCCTTCCTGTTCCCCCCTCTCTCCACAGGCTCATTCCTGCCACGCTGCCCTCTCGAAACCCAGCCTCCATGTCTCTAAGGCCTCCCTGGCAGGGGAGCCTGTGGGGGGAAGAGCTGCCCCATTTGCCCATTAACCTCTTGGCTCCAGTTCAAAACCAGAGGGCCCCAGCGGATGTCCTCCAGGGCTGTAAATGAGGCCGTGCGCTGGTGTTGAGCTGCTCTAACTCGGGGCGAGGAAGAATTCTCCCTAGAGGAGAGGCAGCTGGAGGACGGCCCACGATGGAAAAACCCTTCTGTGGCTGCAGGAAACGGCTGCAGGGCAGAGCCACAGCTGTAGCCCTGTGTCTGGCCGGGGGGATGAAATAAACAACCCGGAGGAGGGCTCTAGATTCCACGGCTGCCCTCTGAGGCAGGGTGGGCAGTTAGTGTCCTCCTGCCCTATTACTTCCCCGTGCAACCGAGCGCTCTGCGGGGCTGGGAAGGGATGGTGCTTTGCCCCAGGAAATGCCTCCCACCCTGGGGGCGCTGAGCTCTGACCCCGGTCATTCCCTTGTCCCCGGTGTGCGAACCACAGGGGCCGCTAGGTGGAAGCAGAGAACAAAGGTTCCTCAGCCCAGACCGCAGCCTCCGGGTGCTCTGAAAGCCCCTTGCAGGTGAGCCCCGCGCTGGAGCAGGGCCAGCCCGCTGGATTCATGCCTTGCCAAGAAAAACCCATTGAGCCGGAAACCTCAGAAGGCACCCGGCACGGGTCCGAGGGCGCACAGCTGTGGGGCCGCAAGGTGACCGCACCCATCCCTTACCTGGCAGGCCAGCGGCTGTTCTTCCTGCCTTGGGCTGAGCTTTTTTCATAGGCCTGTGGGGTCCCCGTTGCGGGGATTGCTTGGCTTGCGACTCCTCCCCAGACCTGCGTGATCTTCTAGTCCAGCTTTAAGAACCTATTTGTGCTCTGTGTAACTGCCCCTACTGGGGCTGGCAGCAAGACGTGAAAGCAAGACGTGAACCCTGGACCGTCGGCATGCAAAGCACAAACTCTGCCAGGGGCTTTCAAACTTTTTTTTTTCTCCTGACCCAGCTGAAGAAAATTGTCGATGGAATGTGACTGGAGAGGGGGCTCTGGGGTGGGGATGAGCAGGAGCATTGGGGTGCAGGAGGGGACTCTGGATTTGGAGGGGCAGGAGGGGATGACCGGGGGGCTAAGGCAGCTTCTTGCCTCTCCTGGCCCCACAGACCGTGCTGCGCCCCAGAAACAGCCGGCAGAAGATTCCCAGCCAATGGGAGTGTGGCACTCGTGTTCGGGGCAGAGGCAGTGCGTGGAGCCCTGTGTACTTTCCGCCGTCCCACCTAGGAGTCAGGGAGCTGCCTTAGCCCCTCCACTGCTCACTTGATCTCCCTGCAGCACCAAGGCCTGGCACCCGACATTCCACCCCCCAGTCCTGGGTCGCTAGCAGCTAGAACAGACTTCTGCCTTTTCTGGGAGCACAAATGTATGAAAACGAGTGGTCCTGCAGTACCCTAGAGACTAACAAATATCTGTATCCAGGGGCATGAGTTTTTTTTGGAGGGGGAGGCAAAACCCACTTCCTCAGATGTTCTCCTTTGATTGTTCATGGTCTCGCCCTGCTGGGTGCAGACCACGCTGTGTCCCTGCCTCCCCACTCGCAGGAGAGCAAACAATCAACCTGCCTCCAGGCCACGGCTCTGTTTGAACAACTCCGGCTGTATCCTCCATTCGGTCTTCGTTTCCCTACTTCCTGGAGCCTTCCGTTGTATTGCCTGTTAACTTTGTAAGAGGGTCTGACGCCGCCGCGGGGTTCTGCTCTGGCAGCGACAGGTTCAAGCCTGGCAGCGAAAGTCACCCCTACCGCTAGTCTTCCAGCTGGAGTCTGCATAGAGCCCACAGGCCGTGACCGCACACACAGTCACAAGTACACACTCGAGTCTGGTGTAAAGTTTTATTAAAGTTCCAGTACAAATGATGAGCAGTCCCGTGGCACCGGAGAGACTTAACAAATATGAGACCGCGAGCTTTCGTGGGCAAAACTCACTTCCCACAAAAAGGAGGGAAAAGGGGAATCCTTCCAATATAGAACAGAAAAAGAACAAGGGGAAGAAAAAAAATCTGTCAATTGTAGTGCTGGTGCTAACGAAGCTAATTGAGAGGGCTGTAAGGCTGCATCTAGACAGGGGTACTATTTCGGGATACGGAAAGTATCCCACTTATAGCTCTTCCATGTCTTTAAACATGCCTGTTGTTTTGAAATAGTGGGCATGCTATTCCGGCGTCCCTGTAACCCTCATTCCATGAGGGTTAAGGGACTTGTCGGAATAGTGCTTTATTTAAAAATTTGACCCTGTGTAGACTGCCAAATTTAAAAATCAGCTGTTTCGAAATTACCGCTTATTTCGAGGAACAGGTGCAGTGTAGATGCACCCGAAGTGTGCCAAACCTAGCTTTTGATGTCATTTGGGTGTTGACAGTTCATGTCTCTGTGCAAGCCGTGAGAGAGAGTGTCAAATTTGCATGTGAAGGCCAGTTCCGGGGTCTGTCTCTGTAGTTGGTTTCTGACATTCCTTGGTCGTGAAAGGGCTACTTTGCAATCCATTGAGTGCCCAGGCGGGTTAAAATGGGCGCCTGCAGGGTTTTGTGTGTTACCATTTCTGATCAGGTGCGCAGCAACACTGGGGCCACAGGCATAAAATTATATATATATATATATATATATAGTAGCCCAATGTCTGAGACTGAAATGCTGGCTGTTGCCTCTGGGCAGCTCTGTTGCCTGAGTCACGTCCTTCGCCTCCCACTGTGGTGCTCGGCTGACTTCTGCACTGCTCAGCCGGGCCGCAGTGGGGGAGCGAGAGGTGCAAGCGGCCGTTCGGGTACCACGATCTCCAAGCAGCCCGGTTGAGAGGCGCAGAAGGCAGC